CTCTTAATGATTTTATTTTAGTTACTTTCTCTTGAGTAGGAGGTACATAAACTCCAAAGGGAGGTGTAGAAGCACCCACCAATGCTTTGGCTACACTTGGCATTAAATCGATCTCTGTGTCCTATTTAAGAAGAAAAGAAAAAAGAAGTTCTCCTGGAAACCAAACACATTGTTTCAGTCATACATGAAATACGTCAAAACAAGCTTTTGTGATTAAGTTGCTAGTATGAATAGCAAGAATGATCAACTTTCCATTTTCAAATAAAAATGTGTCAAAATGGAATTTTTGTTCCTGAAAAAGGTAAATTAATTTTTATCTCCTGTAAAACTTGCTTCTTTCAAACAGAGAAAGAATCTCTGTTTTCCCTTTGTGAATGAAAAGAAATAATGCTGGGTTAAGGACAGAAAGTGTTAGGAGGGAAGGGGAGCACAGAGCTTGTTTACTTCATGCATCATTTACTTTTCTCAGTGTAAAATAGTGATATATTTTGCTTCATCAAGAGGTGACTGTTTTGGACTTCTCACCATCTAAATCAGCATCATTTGCTTGACTGTATTTTGAAATGTTGATGGTATATGAAGATTATTAACATTTATTTGGAAGACTGTAACTCTATTTTAAGAGAGAGAAGCATTTTTTCAAGTATCCTAAAACGCCAAGCACATGAATTAGACAATCCCCACACATTACATGGTTCTGTTATGGAGCTACCTGCAGAGTACCAATATAGAACTATCAATATTTTTTAACATGTATGGCTGACTTTCTTTCAATGTCTGAGTTTACCCTTCAGAATATCAATAATTCCCTCCATTTCATACTCCTAATTAGTAATGTGCAAATACAATGTACAAATCAATGTACAAATTCTTTAAGCTTAGACAATTCATATATCAGCATTGTAAATTAAAACAAATAACATTTGAAAAAACTACAGAATAAATTATGTCAAAATGCACTTAATTGGCAGCTTAATGAATAGCATGGCTTTAATTGGATACTTGCTTGGGAACAGATTAGAATAAGCATATGTGAGCAATTATTTGTAGTTTCTCATTAAAGACGAACTAGAAGGCATAAAAGCAATCAAAAGTTATTGTTTTACACAACACACAGAGAAACTGTGTTACTCACAGCCACAGGACGCTGAGGAGGCCGAGTGTAAATTGAGATTAGGGCATAAGAAATTAGACAAATTCATGGAAGATAATGCTCATTGGCACTTATCACACACGGGTCTGGATACCTCCAACTTCCTAAATTTAGATATCCTTAATGGGGCAGCGTGTGGAAAAAAACTAGACTAGTGAAAGATCCATATACTCTTTGTTCTCTTTCCCATTCTCTCTACCAGAAACACAAAAGCTAGGGTAGACTAGCCCTCTATTATGCCAATTAAAGTTCACTTGAAGGATGTGTGACATTCTGATTTCTCTTCTGCTGGCTGGAAGTTGTGTGTGATAAACTACAGCACAGGGGAGAGGAAAGGAAATGCAGCATCCTGTGAAAAACAGGACAAGGGGCTGTGTTCAACCACATTGGATGGAGAGAGGCCATAAGATTTAACACACAAGTGCATCTTTTCAGGGGACAACTCTGAACTGTGAATCCCAGACAGAAAGGGAAGTTGTGGGAAATTGTCAGAACATCTATGGTCTATAGACATAACCATTCATGCCTGAGTGTCTCCATTGTGCAGGCTGCCTACAGCTCGCTATGCAACTGTCTCTTGTTCTCAGCACAGAAAGCAGTGTGAACTCAGGTATATCACAGACAGGTACATACAGCCAGCGTTTTCTACTGGGTAGTTTGAAGCAGTTCACATCAAGCATGCTGCTGCTTGATGTGAGTTCTGTCCCGGACACTTTGATGTACCACAGCTTGGCACCACTTCTTACCTCAATCACAGAAAAAATTCGAGACTCGGCTAATCCTTGTAGTAAAGCAAAAAGCAGAGAAATCCCATTTTTTCCAAGGCTCCTATTTTGTCCAACAGCTATTACTGTTAAGTTCGGTTGATAACTGTATGCTACAGGAAGAATGAATCCAAGTACAGCAGAAAAGAAGTCATTTCCTTCAGCATCCTTTAACAACAATGAGAAATTGTTCAGCATAAATGTAAACCCCCAAATTCCCAGAATATAAAACAAAACAGAAAGGTGAATATCAAAAAGCTTTTCATTGACCCAAGAAACAGGATACTAAACTATTTTCCCAGCAATTTTTATATTAAACATGCAGATTATTAGTATTTTCTTTAGTGTCTTCACATTGAAGATAAACTGCAATAACTATGGAATGTTTCCTTAAACCTATGCATTGTAATACACTCTAAAGCTCTGTGAAGGAGTTCTACCCTGACAAGGGCAAGAAAAGGAAAAATTTTCAAAGGCCTAAACTGCAGTGAGGGGCATAATTCTCAATGTCACTTTATGAATTTGTAAATATATTCTATTAGTTCTGTATAAAAAGTTTATGTTGCTATGCTGCTTCCAGAAAGTGAATCTTACCTCTTTCCAGTTTAGAGAAACATAGTGTTTTGAGCTGTTTTTTCCAGACTGTTCTTTCTCACAGATATGTATGATGAGTACTTTTCTGTAAATAAAAAACACACCTGAGTGTTTAACCAACATCTTCGAATGAGATAAAAAGATTTTCTTTCACCATTCTTTAAATACTCATTCATAACACAGGAGCAAATAACTTTGCATTTCTATGTGCCACAATGTAAACAACAATTAAACTGGAATCCTTTTTATGGTATTTTTAAAAAGAGGATTAAACACTCCAAGCAAGTTACTTTTAAGAAAAAGGGGAAGTGGAAAAAAGAAGTTAAATGTAGGAAAAGAAGGCTTTTAGTAAGGAACCCTGCATCAGCAGTATGTGCCCCCTGTGGTTATGGGGCGTTACACTCTACATAATTAATAACTGCCTTCTTTATTACTTTTGTATTTGCAATAGTCTATTTTCAGCAACAATCTAAATTTCAATCAAGGATTATACTTTAAACCTAAACACAAACTGGCATTTAGAGATAGCAGCTTGCCTTAGAGGATGTATTTGGGGATGTTTTGTGTTTTGTCTTAAGCTAAACTTAATGAGTGGCAGCTCATGATTGATTCCACAGTGCAAATTTCATCACACGTATGGACACTTATGCACATTTATAAAGCCTTTATGATTTGACTCCCTAAATTAAAGGGAAACCTCACCCATCTTCTGTGTTTGGTATGACCTGCATGTCTCCAACAAATATACAAAGCACTCTGCAGAAAAGAGAAATATACATCCATTTACAAGTCTTTTTCTTTCAATTAGTGCAATTTGTATAAAGAGTTTGCATGTAGATTGGAAGCATAATAAAATGTGTATTGTTTCTGAATTGGATCCATAAAAAGTACAAAGAAAACACTTTTAGGACACTCAAGGTAACCCCATTTCTCCCATCAAATACTGGAGAGGAAAAACAAAACTAAGAAAATGTCCTCGGGCTAAACCCAATTGAAATCTGACAAACAAAATATAGGGTAGCACAGCCATCATCCTTACAGAACTTTTGCCTTCAGTAAGGCAAAAGGTTTTTGCTGACATATATGCTATTATCTGGGCTACATACTGAAAATGCATGGGCATCCTATTTGCTTCAAAATAATTTGTTTTAAAATTTGTTTTAAACAAGTTTGTTTTAAAAATTTAGAGATTAGAAACAAATTAGATAAATTTCCTTAAAAAAAAAAAAAAGATGATTTCACAGGCAATTTGCCATATTTCACACACTTAAGGATCTCAACATTTTGTCAAAGGGGTCCAAACACAAGAGATAAAAATTCACCTTTGAAATCCAAAACGAAGAGAATGTCTGAGGGCAACAGCAGCAGAAGCAGCAGCTGTGGGTGACACTGCAATTCCACTGCATACCTGCAAAACATATTTTTTCATTCAGAAGCAATTAATGCTGCACAAAATAATACCATTTTTTAAGTGTAACAACTGTATTTTTACTTATGTGTATCAAGGAATCTCTCTCAGCCGGGTCAAGAAAATGCTATTAATTCATTTTCTACAGAAACTCCATATGTAACTATTACACCACGAGCTCTCCTATTCCTTTAAAAGCATGGTGCTGTGCTGAAAGGCAACTGTAAAAATAGCTTTTGCAGGGGAAGGCCATGTTTACAGGTTCTCTAGATAGTCTCAAGATTGGATACACTCAGTGTGCCAGAAGGCAAACTGCAGAAGAAAAATAAACCCTATGCAAAGGAGGTTGTCCCTGAATTCTAATTCTGACTCTTCCTTTAACCTATGCAAGCTATTCCTTTCTGGAATATACAATTACAGTACTACTCAGTCAACCCTTCAGTGCTCATTTGTATTGTGCTTTGAACTCTGCATGAAAGCTAAGCAAAAAGATGTGTGCTTCCCTTCTTCACTCCTCTTTGTATTTGTCAGCACAAAAATTTGAGCTTATAACTGCAACTCATTAAAAGTTTTACTTCTTTTTGCCAGTTACCATTTTTAAAAATCTATTTATAGACTCTCCTGGAGCTATGTGCAGTCTATAACATCAGAAATTTGTCCCCAGGATCTACATATGTGACCTCCAACAGCAGGAAGATGGCTTATAGGAACAAAGCCATTCTGGAAGATAACTCTTCCTTGCAGGCCTGGTACTTTAAAGAGAGATTTTCTTTCAAATGGAGAGACTGATTTATTATGATGCAATATTCTTAAACTGTTTGCAGTTTCTTCTTTGTTTCTCCACATTTTTCTATATAAATACAAACATGCATCCTCTAAAGCCTGTGTTCTCTTCATTCCTGACTCTGCAAGAATCAAAATGCTGAACTGGAATTACTCTATTCGGAATCACAGCATACAGTAGAGCTGTTGAAAACACCACTAAAGGGTATGTGTGTGTGCACATGTGTAAATCAGAATTTCATCTGTGTAAACTGTTGTATAACTAATGGTAAACAGGTGCAGATGCACATCTTTTAATGGAGGGTAATGTAGAAACAAGCACCCTCCTGAAGACAGAAGGCAAAACTGTGCACTGAGACAGGATAAGTTTTGACATTTCTTCAGATTTCTTGCTGCTGCTTACTGGTGCTTGATACACCAACTTCTGCTTTTCTTGAGTGGAAGTGTGAATGCCTGGCTTACACAAAGGTCTGACAGCAATGAGAAGGTTCTTACTGACTCATATACTGTGACTACCTACAGAAAATCTGGTCAATGACTTGCCCAAAAATCATTAGAAAGATGTCTTGTGGTTAACAACTATCCCTAAATAGTCTTCTCATCTTGCATGCTCACTCCTGTAGCTAAACACATTATAGCTGAGATCAGTGGAGTCATGAGATAAACGGTAACTAGTATCTGGACAGCAGTATTGTAGAAGCAACACTCAGAGGAATCCAACTCCATTCCTACTCCCAATATCAATGCAATATATTATTACCTCCTTCTTAAGTATTTTATCTAGGATGGCCAATGTACTGCCAAGAGAGAGCAAAGTTTTGTCCTCTTTCACAAGGTCTGCATAAAAGCCACTGTAAAATAAATTACACGAAGAAAAACTAGGTTAGAGGCAATGATGTCTTCAAAGAGGACCCTGATACAGTACTCTGCAGTTAGTATTAATGGGGTACATTTTGTATAGATGCTGCACCATAGTTCTCAGAAACCTAGCCCTAGCAGGAAGATGAAAACCCTGTTGCCTGACAATCTTGAGCTCTCTAAACCTGACTGCACTGGAAAGAAAACAAAAAGTGTCTGATGATCTTCAGGAAATAAGAGTTCTGTCAAAATTAGACTAAGACAAGACAGAAGGTTGAGTTTCTTAAATCAGAGCAGTTTGGTATTTTTTTCAGCTAAAAGGCAATACACAGCTTTAAGGCACCTTCCTAGGAAAATCTCTTTCTAAATGAATACATTTGCATTAGCTGTCCTATCTCTACTGAAAGAGTTTTAGAGAAAAGTATTCTGATTAGTTCTTGAAAGGATTTCAAGGCCATGAGTGATAAACAACACAAATGTATTTATTTTTCAAAGGAGAAAATTCTGCCTATAACTGAGCAGACTAAGGCCAAAAAGATGAGCATGACAGATAGAGAGCTAGATGACAATCTGTACAGAGACCTCTCATCCTCTTAATTAGGATGAAAATTAAATAAATAGGACCAACCTGACAAGAGCTTCTACTTCAGTTCTGTCCATTTCCTTCACCAAATGAACAGGTACAGGGAGCAAATGTGCTGAACCTTTAGAGTCAGTTGTTGCTGTTTTGATAGGAGGCACTGGAGATAGAATATTTTTCATGTGCAATTCCAAAAACCTTTCTACCTTGACAGTTTCGCTGTTGTCAGCTACCTTGGATTCATGTTCTGTGGAGGGATTTGAATTAGCCTTCTCTAGTAAGTGTGATTTGGTGCTCAAATCTTGTAAAAATGATGTGTCTAGAGAAAAAGAAAGAGAGGAGCTTCACAGATATTAATGCTCAAGCAATGTGTCAATATTTGGATGCGTTTCTTTACAAAATAGAGTACATCTGTATTCATAGTATCTATATTTGTTTCCATGCACTAGCTACAATATTTCCTGCCATAGATGTCATTTTTTCAGTGCTACTACATTTGTCTTAATCTAGTGAAAGGTCATAAATGATAATAAATCTTACGCCTGTATTTTTGACACAGAAAATGGCATCCTCAAACACAGATATCAAAGTGCTACTTCTTTGGCATAATGTTTGCTGGCCTCAGTTCTTTTCAGACCAGCTGCAAACATGGCTTTGAATGAAGCCTCACACTGTCAGTCACTGGATGAATACCTGCTTGTTCAGTTATTTTAATCCACTGGTATTCATTTTAATAATTTTGAATTTCTGTATGAATCCATTTATCAAATCACATTTGCTTGAAGAAAGAGAAGTTACCTTCATACATCCAGCATTTCCAGTAGGGTTTATGTGCTGCTCTCACATTTTGAATAGATTCAACTGCACTACAAAAGAAACCAGATTAACAGTGTCAGCAATAATGAATGTACAGGAAATAACACATCTCAACAGAAAAGCAAAATTAAAAGAACCAACTGAAAATGAACAAGCTCTGGTCTCTTCCAAGAATGCAGAACAGAAAGATAAAGAGAATGAGAGTCAATGGGCAGATTGCTTGGAAAGATTATATTTAAGAGTCAAAAAAGTGAAGAACACATGCAGCATATACATACATTTACATACATTGAGTGAAATCCCAACCCTGCTGTTGGAGGAAGCACACCTGTCTGAGTTCAGGAAAGGCAAGATTTCACCTGTCTTTGCTTTGTCTTAAATTTTATCTATACAATGTAAAGGTTTAATTAGATTCACTCAAAAGCAAGACAATCTGCTCAGGAACCAAGTAAATCACATTCCCTGGTATTCTTGTGTTGAAATCTCCTTTTTAGCATCACTGGTATTTGCAGCACTACAGGCGAACAGTCCTAATACATTAAGTATCACACAAATATAGTTCAGGTCATGGTCTCTCATCTGGAGAAATTCTGCATATATATATTTTTAAGGTGTTCATGAGCTGGACTGATGTAAAGGATAAATAAGTAATCAACTCTTTATTACCCTGAATGATAGCAAACTGAGATACCACAGTTGGTAGAGAAGAAAAAGAACTATAGGATGAGCTGGCAACAAAATTAACCAGCTTTGCCCCATCAGCTGAGCAAACACAACTCAGCCCACAGTCTGTCTGTATCTATACTGCTTTCATGGCTGATCCAAGCTCCAGGTTTTAACTAACACAGCCAACTAGTAGGTGTTGCCACCAAAGTGCATGGGGAGCATTACTGCTGGAAAAAAGCACAGGACAGCTATTGAGGAGGGAGAGAGATTGAGAACATGGAGATGTAGAGAAGATAGTACAGACAGGCAGAGAGAAAGACACTGCTTAGATGTGGGACTGATTCAGGCCCAAGGCTCAGAATGCTTTACTAGGTCAGATTCACCACTGTGCAAATACAGTCTTATTGTCTCCAAGAAGTTAGCTTTGAAATTTAATTATCATGCTACAGCTCCACACAGTCAAGTGCCTTTGCACCCAAGGCCTCGATGCTCCAAATTCCAGAAATATAAGGATTCATTAAGACTGGCTCTGCACAGCATTAACTCTCACTGATCAGAGAAAGGTTAGCTCCAGCTATTGCTGTACTACAGCAACTGAAGTTGCTCTGGAGTCTGAATAACTAATTCTTGTAACTGAATACTTTCCCAAGTACTGGCTGTCACTAACTGGCATTACCTGGATTACAGCAGGATTGTCCAAGCCTTGAGTGAGATGGATTTCTACAGGATAATAAGGCCCAAGGATAAATAGCATAAAACCATAAGCCATTAACATCCTGCAACTTGAAAGAGTTTCAGAAACAAGAGTATACAAAACTGTACCTTGTATGACTAAAAAACCATAAGTTATCCAAAGCAGAAAATAATACATTATAAACTACTGTATTGAAACCTTGCTTCAGCAAAATGTTCAAAGCATGCATGTCTTCAGCCTCTTTGATAAATACATGGGCTGTTCTAAAATTTTTTATATGCTTACCTTAGACAAGGTGCCATTTCTCCAGTTATTTGAGGTACAGGATCTCCAAGCAAAGTTTTTACAGTCATGCAAACTGATTCAGCCAATGATTTCAAATGGTACCCACCCTAAAAAAAGTATTTTGTGTCAGCTAAGGGGCAAGTACTTTTAACATCTCTCTGAATGTCATCATAGAAAGTAAGGTACACTTTTGAAATATATCTGTATTTACAGAAACAGAAGATGGTATGCAAGTACATCTAAAGCAATGATTTTCAAAATGAAAACAGTAAGTCAGTGGCTACTTGCTGAACTTCACTGGCATCTCATGATTCAACTCACTTTATCATGGTTCAAGTAACTTTAGACTTTGCCATGAAAACCCTGGAAATGTATGCCTTCTGCACTCCCGTCCCTGACCTGCCATCTTCAACAATTCTTAGATTCCTTAGATTCCTTAGAAGGCAAATGCTATCAGTCCTCTAAAATGCCTGTACAAGAGAAATCTCCCACTACTAAGATGTGGTTGCCTGACAGTTTGGCAGAATTTGGAGAACAACTGAAGATGGATTGAAGACTGCTAGGTGGCATGCAGGAAACAGCCTAGCACCTATGGAGCAGGCACATCATCTGTAGTGGGAGGGGATGCTCTTTTCCACTTGAGCTAATAGACAGAAATATCTATAACAACCTGCTGAAGAGAAGGATGATGGAAGAAAGGTCATGCAAAATAGAGGTCAACTGAATCAATTTATAAACAGGCCACTCTTGGAGACCTTGTTGGCAGCAATATTTCCACACACTTATTTACCTGAAAAACCACCATTTTTTTAACATGCAGCAGAAATAGGAAGCTGAAATCTAGATTTCAAAAGGATATAACACTTTTAATTGTCTTAAAAAAAGAATAAAAACCAGCTCTTAAAGAGCTAGCATAGATGCTTTTATTCAAAAATAAGGGAATTTCTTAAGGGCTTCATTACTAAGTAAGAGTATATTTAGGTAAAAGGTTTTATGAACTCTCCTGGAGTGAGACATACTTATAAAAAGCTTGGTAATGCAGACTATTCACTGAATACATTTTAATGAGTGTGAGACTGTCCAGAGCAGCAGACTAGCCACTGTTCACAAGAACTGAACAGATTTCTGGAGGATATATGGTTTTGAATGATGAGGATATGGCTCCTCTGTTACAAAACTTCAAGGTAAAAAAATTGTTTTTTAAAGACATACATTTCTTTTAATGTATAAGAATATGGTCAACTCTTAGCCATTTTTTTGCATTCCTGATACTCGAAAGATAAAAAGAAGAAATTATTTCTTAAGAAGTTTCACTTCCTAGCTTCTAGTTTGAAATGGCTCTAATACAAAGACCCTTCTCCTGGGAGTACATTTCACAAGTCTTTACCTCTAGGATGACACACAGCTTTCCATTAGCTAACTGCATCAGGAAATGGGTAAGGTGAGCAAAAACCTCAGGAGTGGCATTCATCTGACCCTAAATCAAAGGAAAAATTTTAAGAGATGAAACCCTGAATTAAAAACATTGGTAAAAAATTCCCAAACAGTCTGAAATACCCAAGTCTGAGCTGGAATACTGGAACACTTGCCTCATTATATCTAACAAAATGCCGAACCAACTGCTTTGGAGGACGGTGAAAAAAACAACACGGTAATTACACATATGGGATAATCTGTCTTTACATGTCTTGTTGTAGTGTTTAATGAATGGGAATCAGCTTAAAGACTCAAACATGTATTTTTAGCTTGATTGAAGTGAATTTCACTTAGCGATCATAGGGCATTAAAGACATAGGAATATTTTCCAAACAGATTGATGACTTGTTAGTCAAGTCACACAAAGGCCACAAGTTACTTACTTCAGGGTCTCCAATTGCCGAATCATATCCAGAGGAGACAATAACCAGTTCAGGATTAAACTGTTAAAAAAACCCAGAGACAGTTGTAGCACATTCTTATGTCCTATTTTCAATTTTGTACTGGATTTCAACTGTATCATGATGGGCAGTTACTTCAGTTAGAATCTGAACATAAATAAAGCTA